GTATACCATTTAAAGGTATTTTTTATCTCTTCTTATGTCAAAAGCCGAACTCTACTCTAAAACTGTTCAGTCTAGAGCCTTTGTGGTTTTTTCTCATTTGTAATGTTTTAAAAGTTGTATCCATCTTGTCCATAGAGATTAACTCGCAAGTACCTTTAGATACAGCACAAGTGGACCGGGTCAAACATTTAATGCAGCCCAAATTATAGCCCAAGTCCAAGCTGGCTATATCTTCAACTCTCAAAGCTTTCTCATCTGTGGCATATTCAAATCCCTTCACAGCTAAAATGAAGTTAGAGAACCATACGAATACGATGATCATTTCATACAACATATCATAATAATAATTAAAAAGATAATGGACCCTCACTTTCTTTAGAAAATCGAAGACAAAAATAATTAAAGAAATACACGATGAATGTGACTCCTTAACAATCAAACAAGTCTTTTTGCCATTTTTTTCTTTTCTTGAAGTTTTTATTATTGAAACCGCGTCCTTCTCTTCCCTTCCAATGGCTCTGATGCGAACCAGGAGCCAATTGAACGTTTCTTCACCACCACCTCTCCCTTCTCCGATCCCTAGAGCCAGAGGATCTCGTTCCGCTGCGAACGAGATCCTCACCGAGATCATAGAGAAATCTATCCAGGTCCCTGAGCTAACGCTCCCTGAATCACATTCCGGCGGTGAATCTTGCGGTTCACGTCACCTGATCCCTGCCGAGATTGATTTTCGGTTATTAACCTCGTCGTCGAGGAGAGAAGGATCGGTTGATCGTCTGGTGAGATCGGCTAGGGAGTTCGGGGCGTTTCGTGTGAGCTATCATGGGATATCTAGCGAGGAGATGAGGTCGCTGGTGAGAGAATCGGGTCGGGTTTTCGGAGTCTTGGAGGGAAGAGACACGGGTTTTAGGAGAAGTGTTGTCGGAAACAGAGACGAGATCGTTTGGGTTCGGTCGTGGAAAGAACGTATGGAATGGGCGCGCGAGTATATCGGACCGGAAAGATACCGCTGTTTCAGGTATTGGGCCGTTATTTAGGCCTTAACTGGGCCGTGTTTTGTAAACCTAAATGAATCTTTGTTGAACTTTTTGCAGCCAAGAAATGGAGAATATAGCTGAAAAACTTGAAGGTGTAGCAAGGAGGCTAGGGCAAATAATGGTGGAAAACTCAAGGAGACAGACTGATAAGAGGATACAAAGAGGAGAATCTGTGCTCAGCGTTTACAGGTACAATCACGAGAACGTAACAGAGCAAAGCCCTCCTTTGCCTAAAGAGACAACCGAAGAGATGCTTCAATACACACTCAGCCTTCACCTTCCGGCTAAGAACTGCGAGTTCCGTATCAACTCAGGGAAAGGAGGTCCACTTTCTTTCCATGCAGATCCTGATACTATTCTCGTCACTTTTGGTCGCCAGCTTGAGGTATGTTATATGAGCACTTCAAGATTATATACATATGTTGCATGAGTTAAAATCTTGTGATACTCTAGGAATGGAGCTTAGGAGAGTTCAAATGTCGACAAGGAGAAATTATTTATCATCCAGATGTGTATGGCTCGCGCACTTCCTTCTCCATAGAGCTCAAGTGCATGTCTCTTTTCTTATCACATTCTTCTATGACAAAAACTTCCAAAACGTTTTCTCTAACCCATCAGATTATCACTGCGTTGCTCCTACTATTTTTCTTCCAATCCTTTTGGAGTTATGTATCCCATACGGCCACTTAGATCTCTCTCTCGATATATATACCTCTTCTTTTGTGGGAGATGAGACATGCGTACATTGGAATGTTGGAAAATGGAATGGTATACAGTGTGTTTATTTATTAGGTTGAACCTTCGGTTGTACTTGTATATGTAACACAAAGGCAACAAAAGAAACCAACACAAAAGATGTGTATTTTGATCAAAGATAAAAGAATATGTGTCTTTTTATTATATGCCAACATAGAATTGATTGTCTTTTTTTTTTGCTTGAACTCAAGATTTATCGATGTCAAAACACACAAGATTATTTGTTTTAAGCACTCTGCAATGCAGTTTTTGTCGTTGTACGTGTTCTTGATGACTTTTAGGATATAAATATTGCATATATGACAAAGGACTTCGTAATTAAGCTTATGAAAAGATCGCAATACAAGATTTTGATTCTTTAATATTTTTAAGAAACCAAAACCATGATGCATGATGTTTGGCAAAGAAGAACTTTTTAGATTGAGAGGAGGGTAGTCGGTGGATATGGTTGTGATGGTACTGACGAAGGCATACGTACCTAGATTATCATGTTGAAGATCCAAAAAGAAAATTTATCATCACGAGAATATAAACTACTTAAAATATATAATATAAATGCATATTTTTAAAAAGATGATCGAGTCACATAGACAAGACATCATACTTTGGCAAAACGTTATTAAATTAAATTTGTGACGATATAGTAAACACCATTACGAGAGTTATCCCATTCATGAGGAAAAACATGAATGAGCAAGAGTTTATCCATACTTGTTCTCCAGTTTTTGCCTTTGTATCTTTAATTAGTTACCATTATTTTGTGAATATGATAGTTTTTGAACAAGTGTCAGGTTTAAAGTTTGGCTTTTTCAACACCGTAACGGGTCCTAATATTGTTTCACTCTAACCACAAATGACTTGGATCCACGAATCTAGCTTCCAATAAATTATGACAAAACTTATCTATTATTAATCTTTTCTGTATTATTTTCCAGCTAACAAAGAATAATTATTTGATGCTGCATTGAAGTTCAAACAGTATTCAAAGGTAAATTTATTGTTGTCACTCAATTAAATTGTTACTAGAGTTTTTACCCGCACGTTCGTGCGGGTATATTTTTCATTTTTAAAAATTTATTTAATATTAATCTAAATGTTTTAAATATATTATTTATATTTTTATGTTATATATTGGGTAAATTTATAATCTAATTGGTGTATGTTTTTATTCAACATTATTAATATATAATATTTTTTAATTTTTTACGTTGTTATTCAACATTATTAATAGAAAATGTTTTTTATATTTTTCAACATATTATTTTATAATAAAAATATTAAATTTTCAGTTAAAAATATTTTTCACTAATATTTTTTGAATTAGTAAAACTTTCTGATAGTGCAATTCTATTTTAATATAACATAGACTATAATATGAAATTTATAAAATAGTATAGGATTCTTTTTTTTGTTATTATAGTGAAATTTTAATTAATATTAATGTATAATAGTATGATATTATTAATTATGAAATTCATTATTATGTTATTTAATTAAAAATATTTAAATTTTTAGTAAGATTGTGTTAGATTTTCTCTCAACTGATTCTGTTATAATTAATAATAAAATATACATCTATTATTTTTAGCATGATATATATTTGAATGATTAACCTAAATAATTTAATATGCCATATTAAATAATTAATGAAATAGTCATATATGACTTCTTTGTAGTAGATAAAAATAGTGACTCTATTTTAATAGAGTAGATTTACTGACAGGGAAATGTTATTTCCTCTATATCATAAAGAATGTCATCTTCAATCTTTTATTACAAAATGTTACTTTAAATTTCATTGTAATTTTTATGTACTTAAACTTTAAAATTAATTAAAAATACATTAGTTACACTATTAGTTAATTAGATATATTTATTAAGAATATAAATATATTTTAATATATTTTAATTTGTGTTAAAAATGTCTAAATAAAACTGTTGATAAAATGAAGGTTAAGTAAACTTGTACAAACGATTGTAGCAGGAGGTTAATGCTACGCATCTCAATTATATGGGATTCTTTGAACTCTTTGTATTTCACACAAACCAAAAGAATGCTCTTGTTCCTAGAGGAATGCCTATTCCTTATTGATATTGTTTCTTCGGAGAGTTTTGTCTTCAGTGAGAGCAATAGTTCCCTATTATGGAATAACCACTCTTCCACAAAATCAGAAGTTATGTTTTATTATAATGGAAGCGACCACTCTTGTCTCGTCTATGCAAAAGAGTTCATAGTCTCTTGCATGTTGAGGTATACGATATACCGTATGCCTCACATATTCAACCCGGTTTACTTGGAATCTGGTCTGGTTTACTTGGGAACTAACTCAGTTCCGTCTGGTTTACTTTTATCTGAACTTGATTTCGCAATTGGAGATTTTAATCATCTATTTTAACGTAAATCAATTGTAAATCATATTCAAGATGAGTGATATCTTGAGTTGAGAATACTTTCAATAATATAATGTATCACTTCAGATGATAAACCAAGGCATAACTCTTTCAGACTTCTTAAGATCTGACATTTTCTTACCCAAATATCACTTTGTTTGCAAGAGAGTAGACGAATTGTTCGAACAACCTCTAAACAAACTTAATTACCATCTAAATCAGTAGTGACTCATAAACCACCTACATGAATATTGCTTAACATTCAACGACAGTAACGTCCATCCACGTTATTGTTTTCCATATTTGTAAAAGACTTTTAAATTGCTTTTGATGTTGTATAAACATTTTTTTTATAGTCAATGATGAAAGTCATATATTTTTGTATTTTCATGGAGTTTTTGCAGCTCCCATATAATTATAAAGTCTGAACCCACCTGGAATTCGAATATTTTGGTTGACCTGAAAAGACAGATGTTTTAGATGCCGTAATTAACAAAGAAAGAACATGAAGGAAACTATTGAAAAGTTATTTATGAAAAGAGATTATCTTTAATTAAAACCTAAAACAAGCAATAAGCATGTTTGTTTTCTTGATAAAGGTAGGAGGAACGAGCCTCTTTCTTCCTAACCTGGTTAATATATTCAGATTAGTAAAATTATTTAAGAGTATTGCATTGAAATCGTCGTATATGATGACATATCCATAGAAAATCAAATAAATTTTTTAATCAGCTGACGTGGCAAATTGAAGAGTTTTATTTAAAAGAACGCACCCCCGCCCATGTCTTTTCAATTCGTATCACTGTTTAAAAAAAAATGGCCGGCGATGACTCTTCCGACTCCATCATCGTCAACGTCGACGGAGACGATAACAAATCCGCCTTATTCGGCAAATACGACCTCGGGAAGCTTCTCGGAAGCGGCGCGTTCGCCAAAGTCTTCCAAGCGGAGGATCTCCACAACAACCGCGAAAGCGTCGCGATCAAAATCGTCCAGAAGAAACGTTTAAAAGACGGACTCACGGCGCACGTCAAGAGAGAAATCTCCGTCATGCGCCGTCTCCGTCACCCTCACATCGTCCTCCTCTCCGAAGTCCTCGCCACCAGGACGAAGATCTACTTCGTCATGGAGCTAGCCAAAGGAGGAGAGCTGTTCTCAAGAGTCTCGAGCAACCGTTTCACGGAAGGTCTCAGCCGGAAATATTTCCGGCAATTGATCTCCGCCGTGAGGTACTGCCACGCGAGGGGGGTTTACCACCGTGATCTGAAGCCGGAGAATCTCCTCCTCGACGAGAATCGAGATCTGAAGGTCTCTGACTTTGGCCTAAGCGCGATGAAAGAGCAGATCAAAGCGGATGGGATGTTACATACTCTTTGTGGTACTCCTGCTTACGTGGCGCCAGAGCTTCTCACGAAGAAAGGATACGATGGATCAAAAGCGGATATATGGTCATGCGGCGTCGTTTTGTTTCTTCTAAACGCGGGTAACTTGCCGTTTAGAGATTCAAATATCTCCGGATTGTACAGGAAAATCCGTACGGCTCAGTACACCATACCTGAGTGGACTTCTCCCGAGCTACGGAATCTTCTCCGCCGTTTATTAGAACCGAATCCGGAGAAACGGATAACCGTCGAGGAGATTCTCAACGATCCGTGGTTTAACCACGGAGTAGATCCGAGCGAAGTCGTTGGGATACAAATTGATGATTACGATCTCGAAGAAAGCGGGAAGGAGCTAAACGCGTTTGAGTTAATCGCGTCTGCGTCGACGGCGAATCTTACAGGTTTGTTCGGGAACTTCGTGACGCCGGATCATTGCGATCAGTTTGTATCTGATGAGAGTCCGGCGGAGATTATGGGGAAGGTGGTGGCGGTTGCGAATCAGTTGAATCTGAGGATTGCGAAGAAGAAGGAGAGAGCGGTGAAGCTGGAAGGTTCACAGGGAGTGGCTAACATCGTGGTTAAGATTCGCAGGTTGACGGATGAGTTGGTGATAGTGGAGATGAAGAACAAGCAGAGAGATGTGGGCTTGGCTTGGGCCGATGAGCTCAGAAGAAAGCTACGTCGTATTATTAACCAACCGGTTCATAGGGGTCCGTGAAATTTTAAACCAGAACGAATTTACTCGGAATTTTCAAATGAACAAATATAACCGGTTTTAATGAGGATTCGAGGAGCATTTATAGTGAACCAGTTCGGTTTACAGTGGAGCAGAGAGAATAATGAGAAGAGTGGCCTCTCTGTATATTAAAAAAAAAACAAGAAGAAGAAAAAATGAAGAATACTAACCGGAATTCCATTTTTTTTGTTTCTCTTTTTTTTTTACAAAATATATATTTAACATAATTCAAAATTATTTGCTATGTTCATTGGAGAGAATTTGAATAAGACTATGATCTTTACTTTACGTGTATGTGTGATTTATGTGTGCTTTGCAAACTTGTGCCTTTGTTTTTGCCAATGACCATGCCAAACCGTTTGTAATATTTAAGAACTGAATTATATTTGTTGATGATTTTTTTTTTTTTTTGAATTGAATGTTAAATTTAACTCAAAAGAAAAAAGTACCTTATTACAACAAGTGTTACCTGTTAAAACTTTACTTCAAAAAACTATATAAATTTTGAAAGACTCAAGGAAACCACTTCAAAACTCAATCCAAAAAGCCATCCAAAGACAATCCGTCCAGCATCTTTACGCCTAAAGTTTAACCTTCTCATTCATCCAAATCACCCAGCTCTCACTCCTACTGGCAAATCACCTTCCTCCAACTACCAACACCACCTCCTAACTCACCTAGATCTCACTCCTACTAGGTGCCAGCTCTCACTCCTACTGGACTTCATCACCACATCCAATACAAAGGCTAGAAATAATACAGCCATGGGAAAGAGAAAAACATGTTGATGATCTTTGGGAATGGGAAGAAGCATTTGTGTATGTTATATGTATTTTATTTTGAAGCAATGCAAGTTTCTTTGCAACCTTAAACCATCCAACAAACTACAAAAGTATTGTCAAATGAAACACAAGATTAGTGGTAATATGCATAGTAAACTACTTTAACAAAACAAACACATTGCGTGTAAATGTCCTTTTATATGTGCATATAGCTGTTAGTGTTCTTGTATGATACATTATACAAAGTGGAAATTTGAAAAATTGATTGGCTTTATTCCATTTTTCTACTTGTATGGTACAAAAGAACTAAATATATTATTACATTACAGGCGTGTGAAAGCTCTCACATGAGCCAGGAAAAAAAACAAATGAAATAATTTTCTCTATGGACTATATAGACTATAGTCTTAGTATGGATCACTAGTAAGTAGTTAAACCCTTTTTGTAGCAGAAATGTACAAACTGAAAAACGAATTTTCATATCTTCAAGACAAAAACGAATCAAAGAACGAAGAGGACTCATCATCGTTTGGTTCTTCTTTTGCTCTAGAGAACCCACCACCAAGAAAGTTGTTTTGTTGCATTTGAAGGTTGCTGTTATTATTGTTGTTCATAGGGTAACCAAAAGACCCGGCACTAGTGTTGTTGTTGTTGTGCAACATTTGAAGTGTATACGGAGCTTGAGAAGAAGTAGTGTAACCAGAATGACCAGCAATAGCATTTGGTCTAATTGGTGCTGAAGAAGGATCTTGTGCCGGTCTGTTTGTGGCATAACCGCTACCACGAGCTGCAGGTACGTCGTGGTTGTGCTTCCCTTCGTAGGTTGTGATTACAGCTCTCATATCGTGTGATGCTCTCTCAACATGTTTTCTCACTGGACAACCATTGGTTGTGCACTTGTAGTAGCTCCTGTTAAGAAAATAACAAAACATAAAAATTTGTCAGATTCTCAATAACTTTTGTTGTGATGAATGATATCAAGAAGCTATAAAATGTTGAAATTATTTTACCTTGGATTAGGGTTTCCTTTAACGACTTTTTGTCCATACTTTCTCCATCTATAACCATCGTCAAGAATGTCAATATCACTAGTTGTCTGAACAACAATCCTCGGCTCTCTCGTTGTCTTGCTTCCGTTACTATTCCCACCGTTAGTTTCGCTTTCTCCTTTCCTGAAAAAAACACACAAGAAACAAAACATTTTAAGAAACTTTCTAATTTAAGTAATTTTAAACAGAGAGTGATGTATATGATTTTTTACCATCTCTTTGCTTCAGGTTCACTCCCACAAACTTCTTCTTCTCCTCTGCTCATAACCGATGAGCCTCTCTCAAACTCATCGTCTCCAAGAGAACCAGAAGTAGTATTATTATCATCTTGTTGGATCACAAAGGAATCATGATGATCAGACACAGATGAATGAAACGTCGACGAAGAAGAAGATGATGATCTTCTAGTGGACTGAGGCTTAGGATGGTTATGGCTTCCTTTATAGACAATCTCAGTGATCTGACCTTCTAAAGATGTCTCCACTTTCTTCTTCGTTGGACAGTTTGGGAAACTACACTTATAGTAACTCCGAGGATTCTCGCTCCCTTTCACTTGTTTCTGTCCGTACTTTCTCCAGTTGTAACCATCTTCTCCTTTCCTTTGCTCTCTTCCACTGTAAGATACAGCTTCATGATGAGTGTTGTTGTTTGGACGAGTCTCGGTTTGGTTCCATTGATCTGACTGGTTCTTCCTCTCTTGTTCCTGAACACACACAAAACATTTAAACTCGAGGAAAAGAAAGAAAAAAAAGGATTTGAAGATTGAGCTGTTTGAGTAACGTACCTGTGATTGAAAGACAGAACTGTTTGTTGTTGTTGTTGTCGGAGCAGAAACTCCTGATGATTGTGTTTGGAATGAGAAATCAAAGAAGCTAAAGTTGTTCTTGTTCGTCTTCTCTTCATTGGTTATAGTTTTCTGATTACTTTCGTATGTGTTAAGAGCTCCTGTGGTTGGAGAAGCAAGAACCTACAAAAAACAGAATCAAGAATGGTTTTCAAGAACCTGAATCAAGCCTATGTTATATCAATAGTCTTAAATGCAAATTAAAAGAAAGAAAAGAGAGGCTTACGTTAGCAGAGGAGGCAACAAAAGCAGGGGAATCAAGAAAAACAGAGGGACTGAAACAAGTGGAAGGAGAGACAAGAGAAGGAGAGATTGAGATTGAAGAAGGAGTAAAAGATCTGAATTTTGGTGGGATCTCAAGATCTTCAAGAGATGCTGATGATGATCTTTCGGACCAATTAGCAGAACCATTCATGTTTTGTCTGGTTATGCTATTGTCCATAGTAAGAAGAGAAGAAGCAGCCATACAGAAACTTTTATTATTTGTCTAATGAAAGACCTACATGAGATATTTATAGAAAGTGGGAGAGCTTGGAGAAGGGGGCAAAGTAGAAAAGAAAAAGAGATGTGATGGGGTAGGTTCTTGAAATGGTTATGTATTTTTGCTAGTTATGTCTGTATATATAAAACATATTGCATGGTCTGATTGGTTATTAATGGCACAAATGAAGGGAAAAAAAAAGAGAGAGTGTAGTTTCTGAGAAGGTGATAAAAAGTTTGACCGTTGAAAAGATTAGAAGATGGAGAAGAAGAGGAGGAGATATGGTCAGACCATGTGGCCTTGACTTTGAACGAGGCGGGCTTACGTCAGCTTCGTGCTTACGTCATCCTTTTGGATGCATTTCTGATTGCCACGTGTAGTTTCTTGCGGTTCAGTTCATTTGGATAAAAATACGATTCTCTTTCTGAAAAGCACATGATTAAAGATTAAGGAGTGGTTAATTAGCAAAACTTCCTGATAATAAGTCCTTATTAAATCCATGTGCGGCTACTTGGTTTCAATCTATTTGTTAAC